GAAATCATCTTCTTCTGTTGATACGCCTGTAACTCACGGTGGTGGTGGCGCGGGTTCTACAGGTGGCCTTTCATCCACTTCGCAGGGTAATTCCCAAGAAGGAGTTTCTCCAGAAGAAGGACCAAAGTCTCAACACTCTTCATCGCTTGAAGAAAAGGCGGCAGTGGTAACCCCCGCTGTAGTGAAACCAACAAAAAATTCTGCCCCAGCAGGGGGTGAAAGAGTTGAAAACGACGCCCAGTCGCGTGCGGATGATCAACCCCGTTCAGACGAATCAACCAAAGGAAAAGGGAATTTGGAACCCGCCGAAGCAAGAACATTACCAGGGAACACAATTCAGACACTGCAGGGCGGTGAGAGGGCCGTACCTGACGCATCTAAAGCAACAAAGTCGGAGCCCAAAACTCAACAACAAACAGAACCACCAGTGGATAAGAATGACAGTCACAACACGCATGCATCCGCAAAGTTACCTGACGTGCCAAAAGGAAACAATGCGAAGGAAGGAAACAACGAGGAACCTGCACATACACCAGTTACACCGCAGAGTACATCAACTGGCATCCAACAACTGGCAGCTGTGTCACCTTCAACTGGAACTCCTAAACCTAACGAGGAAAAATCCACAGTGACGAAGGAAACTGAGGATCCTCAAAAATCAGATACTGCAGACACAGAAAAACGCCAAAATGGCGATAATGAAAAGATCGACGACAGCGACAGCAGTACAGTCAAAATGAGTGAGGCAGCACCACAAAAAGCAGAAACAATCACCGCTGCTCAAACAAATAACACGACGAGGCCTGGCGACAGTGACGGCAGCACCGCGGTCTCCCACACCACCTCCCCTCTTTTGCTTCTTCTTCTTGTTGTTGCGTGTGCGGCTGCTGCTGCGGTGGTGGCCGCGTGAGAGTGAGGGAGAGAGAGCCGTGCACCGCCCACACACACTCTCGTCCTTCACTCACTCTCTGTGTGTGTCCCCTTGCATGGACTCTCGCCCTCACCTCATCCCACGAAGCACACACATAATGTGCCCATTGTATATATTGCATGCACACCCATGCAGGCCCGTTGGTGCTCTCTTTTGCACGACACGCACCGCTGCCGTCCTGCCTGGCTGCATGGGCGGAGCACCGTAACTGTTTCTGTTTTTTTTTTTATTGCATTGAGTGGGCGACCTCTCTCTCTCTCCCTGTGTGTGTGTTTTGCTTTACGGGAGCAATGAGAGTGTGTGCGCTGGTCGTCCCACGCTTCGGCTTTTTGTTTTGTTTTTCATTGTTTTGTGGTTGAGTGCACCCATTTTGTTGCCTGCGTGCGTGTGTGTGATGATATGAGTAATTTGCGTGTGTTCTATTTGCCTCTCTCTGCCGTTGCTTTCTTTGGACTCTCTTGTGGCGCACAGCTGCTCTGCAATTATGGGCGCTGACAAACGCACAAGCACATGCACACACACACTCTGTGTCGGACACGCTGTGGAGGGGTGTGATCGTTGAGGACGCACGGACGCACAGGATTGTGGCTGCGGTGGCTTTTGCGAGGAGGGAGGACGGGAGACCGCGATTTGTCTTGTCGACGTGTTGCGGGCGTGAAGGTGGCGGCATGCAGGCAGGTGGGTGGTGTGGGCGTTGAGGGTGCCTGGGACGAGTGCGGATTGCTTCCCTTCCGGCAGCTGCACGTGCCGAAGCTTCTCCCATGCTGTGGATCCGTCGACGGGGGATCCTCCGGCTGTGCGGGGTGGTGTGTGCCGGTGGCGGAGCGGGAGCGCTGGAGGAGACAGCAGCAAAAGGACTGGCGGCAGCGCATGGGCGCAGCGAAGGGTGGCTGTGCCCTTTTGCATCACGTTGGTTTATTTGTGTTTGGGTGTTGCTTGGTGTGTGCCGACGCGTGACGAACGCCTCAACCGCTGTGGCTCCTGCTGCTGGTGGTGGTAACAGTTGCTGTGTTCCCGGTGCACTGTTCTTCCTCCTTGTTCCGTGTGTCTGTGTGCGTGAGTTGTTGTTGTTGTTATTATTGACTGCGGCGAGGATGATGGCGCCACTCACTGTGGATGGGTGGCGGTGCTTATTCTTTCACCCTTTTATTGGCAGTTTTTTTCTTTACTTCTGTCACTCTCTTACGAAGAAAGCAAACAAGCACTAATCGCTACTGTGAAATTCGAAGGTTCTTAAAGGACCAACAGCACACACACCGCCCACACAAACATATTTATATGCTCTCACGTATTGGTGCTGTCACGGTACCCCGCACACACAACCGTCGCCGCGTGACCGGATCCAGCGGAAGGAGGGAAGGAAGAGGGAGTGAGCGGCAGAGGCCCAACATGTCCCGGCGTGTGTTTACTTCCGCGGTGCTGTTCCTCCTCGTCGTTATGATGTGCTGCGACACTGGTGGAGCTGCAGCCACTGAGAACAGTGTTTCAGGGGCTTCAACTCGGGGATATTCACGGAAGAAATACTTTGATTGGAGAGATACAAATGATAGAGAAACAGTGAGTTCGTTAAGTGTTCCAGTTCTTGTTGAGATGGATGGTGATGTGTTTGCCGTTGCCGAGGCGCAGTGCAAAGAGACGAAGGAAGGTAACGATAACTTTTTTTCTGGCGTTGCATCCCAACTTTTTTTGACAGAAGCTGCTGCTGACAGGCCGCTGGAAGTGCTGAATGAAGTGAAAGAGACACAGGTTTTGGAGAAAGCCCCTTCCACAGAGTTGAAGAAAGTGGATGTGAGCCGACCAACAACAGTTGTGGAGGGAAATGATATTTACATGCTTGTTGGAAAATACAGCCGGAAAGCTGCCACTGGTGTTCAGGAGAGAGATGCAGTTGACCGTGGATTTTTGCTGGTGAAAGGGGAAGTCGGTGGTGAAGAAAGTGGCAGTGGCAAAGGAATCCAGTGGAAGGATACCAAAGGTCTCCCGCGGACACCTTTCTGCGAGCAACACGAATTTTTAACAGGACTGGTTGGCGGCGGTGGATCGGGTGTTAAGATAAATGGCGGTACGCTTGTGTTCCCAGTGGAAGGTACAAAGAAGAAGGAGAATGGGGCACTGAAGAGGATAAAAAACCGTTTCGCTGATCATATACACCTTGAGTACTGCGAGTTGGACGCTGTCTAAGTGGATGTCTGCCGATGGCTGCGGTGATCCTTCTATCGTGGAGTGGGAGAAGGGAAAACTCATCACGATGACAGCGTGTGATGATGACCGCCGCAGGGTGTACGAGTCCGGTGACAAGGGGAAGTCGTGGACGGAGGCACTCGGGACACTCTCACGCGTGTGGTTCAACAAACAAAAGGGATAAAAACGTGAAACTCGTTAGAAGCGGGTTCACCATAGCGACGATTGGCGGTGTCGATAGTGATAAGAGAAATGTGATGCTCGTTACTCTGCTGGTGTATTCCAAGGAAAATGTGGAAAAGGGTGAACTCCATCTTTGGCTGACGGACAATGCGCACATTGTTGGCATTGGGCCGGTACCCAGTGATAACGCTGCTGCCGCCAGTTCCCTGTTGTACGAAAGTGGTAAAGATGGTGGTAATTAGAAGGAGGAGTTGATTGCACTATAGGAGAAGAAGAAGGGCGATGGGAAAAACCACCACCCGGTATGGTCTCTGTGCTTCTGACTGAGCAGCTGGAGCGGGTGAAGGAGGTGCTGGCGACGTGGAAAGAAGTGGACAAACGTGTCTCCCAGCTGTGCCCCACTTCAAGTGCTGCGGTGAGTAAATCATCTGACACTGCCTGCACTACTGATAAGATCACGGATGGGCTGGTTGGTTTTTTGTCCGGCAACTTCTCTGATGGCACATGGAGGGACGAGTACTTCGGGGTGAACGCCACAGTAAGTAATAAAGAAGCGGCGGAGCAAGTGGATAGTGGCGTGAAGTTTACAGGCCGTGGAGTGTGGGCGGAGTGGCCCGTTGGCGCGCAGGGGGAGAATCAGCTGTACCACTTTGCGAACCACAACTTTACTCTTGTGGCGACGGTGTCCACCGACAATGTGCCGGAGGGAGATACCCCCATTTCTTTGATGGGTGTGAAGATGAAAGATAATGGGAAGACTGTACTCGTGGGACTGTCGTACAACAACAAAGAAAAGAAATGGATGCTACTGTGTGGTGACAAAAGGTCTGAGGAGCTCAGCAGCCCTTGGGAGCCAGGGAAAACACACCAATTGGCCATTGTGCTGCAGAACGGCAACCAGAGCACCGCGTACGTCGATGGTGAGCGTGTGGGTGAGGATGCGCAATGTGAATTGGAAACTACGGAATTGAACGAGATCTCGCACTTCTACATTGGATTGGGTGGAGGCGATGCAGGAAGCCAAGAAGAAGTGTCCGTGACCGTGACGAACGTCCTGCTGTACAACCGTCCGTTGAGTGCAGTGGAGGTTGGCGCCCTCAACCCGAATAAAGTCCCCATTCCACCTCCGGTAGGTGGAAGTGCGCAAGGAACATTGTTGCAATCTTCTTCTGACGGGCAACCGCCGTTGGAGCGTGAATCGTTGAATGAAAATGAGGGTGTGGGCAGTGGCGATGTATCCACGTCAGCAGTTTCCACCGCCACTCCGTCGGCAGGGGAGGGTTTTGTAAAGCAGTTGGAGTTGCGCGCTTCTCTCGGTGGAAGTAAAAACGTGGATGTCGCTTCTTTGTCTGTGGATGGTTCAACGGTGGAAGCAGAAGCTGGAGATACGGTGCCGGGAAACAAACCACCTCAAACCTCTGCGGGCACTCCCTCCACAGCAGATGCAAACGCTTCTACCGCTGAAACCGTGCGGCAAGTTGACCCCGCAGTGACAACTGGGGTGAGCATGAGCTCCGGTGAGAGTGGGGAGACGGCGGGAGGAACGGATGGGCAGGGAGAGGCCCATTCACGGGTCAGGGAAGTAAATGCTACGGCACCCAGCAGCAGCCTCGGAAATTTGTCGCAGGGGAATAACAGCGATGCTGGCACCGTGCGTGGGAGCGGACTGCTGTCGCTGCTCCTTCTTCTGGGACTTTGGGGGCTTGCGGCTCTGTGAGGAGTGACTGGCTGCCGCGTGGGACACTCGCGACCTCCTCCGCACAGAATTACTTCTCCCGGGAACTATTTTCTCACCTCGGATAACTTTTTTCTTTTCTTTTATGTGTTTGTGATTTTCATTTTTTTTGCTTCTCAGTACTCTTTTTTATGTTTCACTTTTTTTCCAATTTTTCTGTTTTGTTCTCATAATCCCCTCATCCTTCTTTTTTGCTTTTGGGGGCAATCACTATGGACGTTTTTTTCTTTTCTACTCTTCTCTCTTTTAATTGTTTCTTCTGCACTCTTCCTGTGAGGGGTGCCGTGTGTTTCCCGCCCAACTGCTCCACTCGCACACCCACCGACACGCTCATGACGACGGCCCTGTGCGCCTCGCCTGCTGCACGCATGAGGAGGGGCCGCGACGAACGGCGCGCTGAGGGAGCCGTGACGTGTGGGCGTGCGACGAGGGCCTGTGGGGCGGAGCACACATTTCTTTCCTTCTTTTTCTTTTTCTTGCGGTCAGGGCGGGCAGACACCCGCAGCGCCACATACACAGCCACACCCTGCCGCCGTTTATTTTTATTTTTGTTTTTGTGGATGGTGTGTGCTGCCACCGTGCGTGATTGGAGAGGTTGGGGCTGTACCGCATGCATCGCTGCCATCCAGCTGTGCCTCTTGCTGCGCTGATGATGTCCTCCCTGTGCTTTTTTTTTTCTGCTTCTCCAGCGCACACGCACACAGAGATAACTAGTTGCACGGTGCTCTGAAAGAATTTGTTGGCGACGGCGGGAAGCCTTTTTGCATTCCGCTTGGGGCCGGCTGACGCGGCTGCACGATGCCCGCCGTGCGTGACGGTGTTGCCTGCTCTTGGGGTCGTTTTTATCACCCCCTTGTTTTTGCTTTGCTGTTTGCGGGCGTCGCTCGGTGCGTGCGCTGCTTGGTGTGTGCTGGGGCATGACGGACGGTGCCACGATTGCCTCTTCTGGCGGTGACAGTTGATTTGCTCTCGGCACACATCCACACACTCTTCCTTGTCTCTATGTGGGTGTGATTGCAGTTTGCCGGTGCTGCGAGCGTGATGGGGACCACGACGGCGTCACCCCTCGAGAATGTCCCACGATCTGTCGGTTGTGGAGGGGCGAGCCGGTTTGCCTGCAGCTCGACTGACAGAACCGCACAGTCGTTTCATTGCGGTCACTCCGTCGGCATCATCCGCTGCGGTGGTGTCCGCAAGAGCCGCAGCCCCGATGAGGATGGCCTCGTAGTTGTCTGGCAGCTCAGAAGTTCAGTCCCTTCGCTCTACAGGATTGTCCTCGCTGCTCGACTGGCGCAGCACCATCCCGGCATGGTTCTTCTGCAGGAGTGCAGGCACCAGAGTGCCCAGCGACGAGGCTCATTGGCCGCAGTTTCTTCCACCAGACGTGCAGTGGGCGTGCCGGTGGCGTGGCCCTCTTGGTGCGCCACACCTTGCCGTGCGAGCGCCTATCGCTGCTGGAACCAACTGCGTGGAGACCACCGCCTTCCGCGTGTTCCCACCGGCCAGCCCCAGCATGTACGTGGTTAACCTCTGCAGCCTTCCCTGGAAATTGCCCACGCTGCTCACTTTGCGAGCAACATTCTTCGCCTTTGTATTGCAGCCCCTATCGCGGGCAACCCGAATTTACACCATGAGCTGCGGGACGGTCGATCACCGTCAACAACGGCAGGAGAGGACTTCACCGCCACCCCAAGCGGCATGGAGATTGAGCTATCCGACGACCCGGCACAGGCAACGCGTATCAGCGGCCACGTCTTGTTTCCCGACGTGACTGTGCAACGCGTACTGCGTGTCTCCCACTGGACGTCCACCAGTTTACATGGACTTGGACCACCCTCTGGTATTGTAGACTGCAGGGACGGAGGACGGCATCCCGCGACAGGCAGGCATGCTGCCACGACGGAAACATGCCGTCGTTGTCATGCATGAAACCGACTGGACAGCAATCACTTTTCATCGGCGTTCATGCACGTTGACGACCGCACGCTGGTTGCCTTGGGTGCGGACGGCCGTGCATGTGCTGCGGCAATGCCATTTGCTGTGTCAGTTGTGGCCACATGGGCTGCCGAGCACAGCCCGATAATCAGCGCGGACAGGAGCGGGGCCGCTCTGTTCTGCATCGTTTCACGCTGACGGTCTGACGAGAATACGGCCGACCATCGCCTGGGCGGTGGGAAGCCACGCGTCAAGTCCCACCCCGTGCGCCTGCTCGGCGATGCGATTGATCGAATTCCCAATTTTGGTTTGCACGTCACCGCCGCTGCACAGCAGTTCGTGCCCCCTTGCTGTCGGCCGTGGCTGGGCGCAGGAGCTGGGGCGCCGCAGCAGCACCATGCGGTCCTTTCTCGTTGGGTGCGTCCACAGTGCGTTGCACCACGGTGTCGAGGCAACTGCTCCGTGTCCAGCCCCCAATTACCTCCACAGCCTGGAAGTGCGGCACCGCGACAGCTGTACGGCATCTCTTGGCCCACGCGCATCAAAGAAGGATACTTCTGCCCACCTGGCAGCCAATCTAGCACCGCTGCGGAGGATTGTTGGGTTCCTCGAACCCACACAGCACGAACGCCTCACATTTCTTTGGTATATTGAGGAAGATCGTGGTGCAATCTGCTCGGAAACCATTCCTTAGTCGATACATGGGAATGCAGTGACGAGTATTCCGCTGCCGAGAGATGCTGTACTTGACGGAATGCGACGCGTCTGTAGCCACACGGGGATCTTCCCGCACCACACCCACGCCCCTCATGCTGGGCAGCGAATTTTCGTCTGCGACACTGTGAGCTGCGACGGGGTGGGCGTCCTCCAGCCACGGCATGCCCAAGACGCCCCGGATGGCTCGTCGTCTCTCGCTCAGCATGCATCTGGATCCGCTGCAATGCTACTTGACTCCCCGGACAGCCGAGCTGCCTGTGGGGCCTCACCGCACAGCTGCTGGCAGCCTTGCATGCTCCTGCCGAGCGGGCGTCCGCCACTGAGCATGCCTCGACACTTCCAG